TCTTTCCGCGACGCAATCTTGCAGCGACCCATCAACGACCCACAGACCAGCGACCCACCGGAGGCATTCTTTCATGCAGCGGCAGTGGGATCAAGTTCCATCTGGTGTGAAGGACGGGGCAACCGCAACACGGAGCAAAGCCGGTATTGAAAGGACTGCTAATGCTTTCGCTGAGTGGAGAGACTCTTTTGGGAAGCGTTTTGCGGAGTTTTAGGAAGCGTTTTGCGCTGAAGAGCACGTGAACAGCGTCGGACCTGAGGATCGCTAAGGTGAATTAGGAGCACTAAACCGTACGTAGGATTTCCAGGGACATCAAGCTCCGGATTGGCTCAATTAGTGCATTTTTCTTCAAGCGCAGTCCGAGCTACCACAGCTTCGTTGAGGCCTGGATATCGACTTTTTGGTGTGACCAGCGAGTGCGAAGAGTTGGTGCAGAAATTCAATGAACTTGGTCCTTGGTCCAATGTCCCAACCGAGCACTGTTGCCACCCTTTCGACAGTGAGAAGCACATGTTTTGTGTCTCAAACATGTGTCACAAGGACCTCAGCAGGGCCCCACAGGTGTTCCAGCAAGAAATGCATGCTCTTTGAGAAGTAGGTTTTACATTTGGTGACCATCCATTCACCACCACTAGAGTGAATGACTTCTTGGACGTCATTGGGTCCGCAAGACGGATTGAAGACCAGTGATCAGTTTGGAGACGGAGGCTATTGTGATTGTTGCAGACTCGACCTGCTGATGGAACAAATACATTGCACTATTGATTGCTAGCTGCTTGTAGGAGATTGGTCCAACGCTCGATGTGAATGATCAGCTGCGGTTGATCAACTCCAGGACGTCCGTGCCACGGATCGTTCCTCCTTCCGCCAGGAGAATGGTTACAAGGCCCTGGATGCCTTTTTGAAACACACTGGCAGCACGAAGTCCAACACTCGAGTGCTTTTCCGGAAATATGCCACAGGCGCTGGCGCGCTCGCCCACCCGGGGTGTTTGCGGGTCGATGGCAAAGTCTTCTGAGGATCATCGTGCAGCAAGCAATATCATGTGTGGTTTTCCTGGTTTTTGGACCATTTTGCGGATGTTTTAGGCGTATAGCATCAGACCGATTTTAAGTTGCTCGGAGACTCTTGGCATGAGGTGTAATGGGTGGTGCTTTGTGGTTCAATCTGGCCAACGGGGAAGGATTGAATTTCTAGATCTGAAGCCACTTCTGAACCTTAAATGCGGTCCCCCTCCCAGAACCCCCCTACAAGTACAAACCACTTCAGTTTGGTGGTTTCTAATTAGTTCGAGGTCATTTTGATCACGGTCCGGGGCTCCTGGCTTCCCACTTTGCACAGGACGCGACCACGAGGGCAAGCCGGCGCTGACGCTGCCGCAAGCGCGGCAGATGATTGCTGCGCCGCATGACGGAGTAGGGGGGATTGAGTTTGGGGGGTGGAGAGTGGATTTCTGGGGGTGAAGAATGCAGCATGATGCAATTCAATGGCCAGATATGGCCAGATGTTTTGTTTGTTCTATGTGCGAACACCTATCTAATTTGCATGTGTTTGCCACTATTTGCCCGTTCTTGCTGGTTTGCATTTTCTTGGCTGTTTGGTCCTGGGACATTTACGGAGGCGGCAAAAGACCGCCTCAATCACCCTCACAGGAGCAACCGCTAAAATCAGCGATGACCAATTTAGTGGACTTCGTGACACATGAACCGTTTGCTGAAACCTGGAAAGGCAATTAGACAACCAAGTCAACGCAATGATGGAAAGTGTGGCAGGGGACCAAAAGTGAGAACCACAGACAAATTCTATCCTGTTTAGTGGACTGGTGCACTCCAATACCGGGACATGTGTTGGCCTGACCATACCTGACGAATTCACATCGGATAGATTTAAGATTTGCCGTAAGTAGTTCAAGAGCTGTGAGCAACAGCTCTCCTGTATGCTGCACAGTCGAAGCCGTTTCACGCCCAGGTCGCCTGGCCACCCGGCCCGTCGACCCGGGACCTCGGCTGAGGTTAGTGCAGAAGCTGGAGTTGCCGGACTCCTTCTTCTATGATCCTTGGATGCGTAAAACGCACTTTCGGAAAGCAACGCAACAAAAAAAATACGCCCATCGGATGGTTCCAAGAAGTGGAAGCTCTCAGTATTGATACAGTATTCTTAAGTCCAGCTTCACATTGCTACATGCCTTCCACAGATTATGATCTCAATTTGGGGTTGGCATGTTGTTTGTTCTTGTAAGCACACTGGGATGCGGTTGGGGGCTGGCTCACAGTCCATTCATGCGCTTTTCTAGGCAGAGCGGGGAAACTTGGAGACTCGCCTGTCCATAGATTAGGTCTGACATTGAGCGTTGGTTTGGGCGCGCAAAAACGGCAAGGGTACTGGCTGTGGGAATCCAGACAGACCAAACAAAGCCCCAGATGGTGAGAGGGTTCTATGAGTCTATGGCGCGCATGATAGAAGGGGAGTGAGGATTTTGGTACAACATGGTTGGTACAACGTGAACGCCGAAGCTCGAGGATTTGGATTTGCAATTCTCGCAGCGGGGAACCCCAGTTTGCACCCACTCCCTGCTGCGCTGGGCCTGAGGGTTGCAGCAGGTTTGTGGGGTTAGCTGTGGGTTTCGGAAGATTTCCGGTCAGAGAGGTTGGGTGCTAGGCTTAGGCAAATTGCAAAGACTGTGGGGCTGTTGATTCAGCATTTTGAAATCCAAAGCAAGGCGGCGCTTTGTTTCATGTTTCATGCCATAACTGGTCCATTAGCGGTACATGGTGTTTTGCTTGTGCTGAGCTATGCTGTTTTTTCATGCCCTTATAATTGTTCAGTCAGGCCTGTAAGCACTTCAATTCTCAAACTTTGCGAGCAATATCCGGCATCAAAGCGATTCAAGCGGTGGCTAGCACATGTCCTTCGTTTTTGAGCATGAACCAAGTCCCATTGTCCAACTGCATCGCGGCTTTAAATCGGAGGTCATCTACTACCAACTACCGGCCTCCCAGAGGCCAAAGATCTCTCCAAATATACTTCCACATGATAATATGTATTGCCTTTCTTTTATCCCAGATGTGAGGTTGTTCTTTTGTACCACTACTACACCAGGGCCCTGGACCATGGGCCATGGATGGTTCACAGCCCGGTCCAACAGGTTCGACTTTGATGGCGACGGATCGCTCAATGCCGAAGAGACCAGCTGTATGGTTAAGAGTCGCTGGGCGAACGGGTGCTGAAACGGATACTGTGTTTCGTGCTGAAACGGTGGCCCAACAGTGGCAGGCCCCAGGCTTTTGGCCCCGAATTCTGCCAGCCTACTTCGGGATATATAAAGATGGTTTTTGAACATGTTTGAACCACTTTAGTTTCAGGAGTTATTTTTTTCTCGCACGATAGGCGACACCTTTGGGTCTCAGCTTTATGGCTAAACAGTGGCGCCGAAACAGCGAAACGGTCCGAAGACGGGAAGGCATCCAAGTCAACCACCCTTTTGGAAGGCATCCAAGTCCCCTGGAGTGGAATGAGGCGTGTTGAAAGAGAGGCGCTCCTCAGCTGGCGGCAAGCCGGAGGACTGAACGGGAGGGAGGACTGATGTACGATCAGCTTTCAGCTGCATTCAGCTTCCAAATGCCAGCATGGAACGTTCGACTCGAGCGCCTCGATTGGCCAAAAGGCAGGCTCAGAGCATGCCAGCTGCTAGCATATGCTAGCTGGGTGCTCCTGTTTGAGCATGACATGACAGCGAAGTACAGAGACAGACTCAGCAGGATAGTTCAATCGCGATGGATCCACTGCCACCCTTCTGAGAGGGTGATTGGAGATGCTTTGATTGAGACGCCAGGAGGGTGCAAAGTGCCTTCTGAGAAGGTATAGATCACAGTGTAGATCACTATAGGGAAAGGAAGGGTTACAGCCTAGACCACCAAACCCTCCCGGAACCCTCTCTGACCAACCGCTTTGCCACCCCGTAACCCGCATCCAGACCCGACAGGACGTGGATGTGGACCTTCTGGTGCCCTACCGTACCCTGCAGGACGGTGGCTACGTCGTCGTACGGGAGCTGGGTCGCGGAGGACAGGGCGTGATGTACTTGGGCAAGAAGTGTCTTGGCAGCACGGAGCGCGGGACGCGGGACGCGGAGCGCGGGACGCGGAGCAAGCTTGAGCGCGTGCGTGGTGCAGTGTGCGGTGTGCGGTGTGCCGCGTGGTCGGGGAAGTGTGCGGAATTGTGCGGAGGTCCGATGTCCTGTGCTCAATCCGAACGTGCCACGTCCAGAGTCCAGAAGAAGTGGAGAAGGATTGAGACAAAGAAACTCCACCTTCAGGCCTGCAGGGTAAAGACTTGAGGGGGTAACACGGTAACACTTGGAGAGGTGAATATGAAACCGGGGTGGCTTGCAGTTTAGGCCGACTTCTTTGACACATTTTGA